TCCTCCAGGTTTTATTCCTCTGTGACTTAGGCAGACCCTCACAGAATACTCTAGCCATCACAGGCAATCAATTAAATGTTTCTGGAATGCAAAGAAATATGTTGTTGTAGGCTAGCATAGGAACTTGTAACATTTGCTTCCATGAAGAAAATATTGGTGTTTCAATAAAAACCAAAGGCCCTGTCTTGGGTCACAGTCTCCTTTTTATTAGAAGTGTCATTCTGCTTCATCAAGTTTTGGCAATTGTGCTACCCTGTTTTAGGATCTCTAGGTCAGATGATCTAGGGAGGCCTCATAGCATTTCAGGTGCAGCTACCTAGGCCTAGGAGTTGCAGATATGGGGATTTGGGTTGAAGTCATCCATCCTTTCAGATAATATTGCCCTGATCAGCGCTATATCCTTCCAAAATTCCACCCTACATCAGCCTGTTCTGAGTGGAAAGTTCCCATCCCTGCAGAACTTTGGCTGTCATTCCTCTGGTGACACCACAGAGGGCAGTCAGTAGACTTGGTAAGCCTCACAACATGGCCCAATACCCCACCCCCCATTTGCTCACCAGCACCGTCTCTCTTCCATTCCCTTCCTCAGTACCTCCATCCTACATCCTCTCCCTTTGCTACCCTCCTTATCCCATTTCCAGTTGGGATATGGGATATACGAAACTAAATCATACTGTTGCTATATTTCTTGAATAAAATTTTATGCTCTTTGCTTTTTTATAGGAAGCAAGGGACCTCTCTGATTCTCCAAAAGAAAAGAAAAACTAACGCTCGACCCTTTGAAGGTGGCTTGTGATAGATATTTTTTCATGGCTCATTTCATTTCAATTATGTAAAATCACCCATACATGTTCTAAAAGATGTAGATTCCCACAGGCTGTAGGAAAAATCCCCATGCTCCTTGTTATAACCCATCTGGCCCTTTTTAAAATTCTCTTCCTGGTCTTTGGAAACCATAAGGATAAGAAAGGTTACAGTAAACTCTTTACACATGTAAAATGGGCTTATATGTCATTCTCTTATTTCTGTGCTTGAAAGAAAAGGGACAAAACAAAAGAAAAGCTACATCAATGAGTCTTTTGTATCTCACACTCACTCTGAGGAAGTGCCATCAATAACCCAGGTCCTTATGTTAACAGTGAACTGGCACCAGATTGTTAGACCTCAGTTCTTGAGTTCTGGCTAAGAAAGAATTTAGAGGCAAGACTCAAATACAAGTGAAATTTATTTATAAAGTCACAGAGGTAGAAGAAATGAACTGTAAAACAGAGACAGCGAGACTGCATGGATTCAGCAAACAAGTTACAGAGGTGAAAGAAGGGCCCTTGGAGCTTATGAGAAAGAAAGGCAAAGAAAATGCACCTGGGGGAAGGAGAGGGAAAGAGTGTGGGCATGCTCAAGAGAAAGCGCATGCTCTGGGTCCTTGTCTTCAGGGGTTTTATCTGTTTTTCAAAGGCAGAGATTTTAGGGGAGGTGACAGGGGAGAGTCTCAATAGAATATTGATCAGCTTTTCAGGTGTGTCTTCTCAGGATCGTGGTCTCCACTGATTGGTCAGCATCAGGGCAGGTGGTAATTAGTCATTGCAGCTGGTCCTGATATCAGCCATGATGTTCCCCTGCCTGGCCTTGCTGTTTTTTCTGGGCCTGGAGCTGAAACACAACTGAGGCCTTGATGTTATCTCTAGTTTGACCAAAACCCTGTCTTTGTGGTCAATAAACCTGAAGCTTTGTTCTTAAGATTATTTCATTCGGGCCAGAACCTCATTGTCCTGAGGGCTTAAGGCTTAAGGGAGTGATCATGCAAGGGCTTGTATGGGGGTCATATGAGGCTATTCTCTGGCCCCCTTGCTCCTCCTCTAAGGGATCTACCACATGACTAGCAATCTACCAAGGGAGAAAAGGTCAGGGGAGGGTCCAAACTGCTTGACCAGTGATATGCTAGGGGAGGAAAGGTCACCCTGGGGATGAGGTCCCACCTGACAATACTCGCCTTCTCAATTTTGCCCATTGCTAAGCACCCAGGGCTTTTTGCCCTAGTGACCTTCTGTACCTGGCCTATTGTTCCTACTCTGCTCATGTCTGTAACTGCCTACCATATCCCTTACAAAGCTTTGTAAACTACACAGCACTGTAAATATAAAAATACAGGTTTTTTATGCAATTTAATTTATTATCCCAAGATTTGGGAAAGAGAGTCAAGGTCATCTCTCTGTTCTCTCCCAAAAGCAGGGTTAGCTCTTCCTTCCTGTTTGTTGCTGCATTTCTAGATACAGCACTTGTCCTTGGTCTGCTTCCTGAGAAACAATGAGGTCCTTCAGTGCCAAAATTTGTGTTTATGTTGGTTTTTTGGCTTGTTTCATTTTGATTTGTTTTATTTTTGTATCCTAGTGCCCAGCAGAGTACCTAAAATAGAATTATTGCTTAAAAATGAAGAACAAGAAAGAAAGGATAAATGGACGTATAGATGGATGGGTGGGTGGATGGATGGATGGAGAAAGCGGCCCAAGGAATGAGTGAATGTTCTTCTTATCTCATCTAAACCTCTGTCTCTAACAGCAGAATAAGCCTCAGGATTCAAATTAACACCAAGAAGCAATGGGAGTTTCCTTGTTGATCACACAGAAAACAGAGCTAAACGAATTGTACATTCTGGCTCAGAGTTCAGTTGCAAATTCTCTTTCAGCTCTGAAGTCTGTGGTTGACAAGAACTGCACACCTGGAGACCAGCTGCTAGAAAGTAAACTTTTATATAAATAAATGTGTGTGTGTGTGTGTGTGTGTGTGTGTGTGTGTGTGTGTAAGAGAGAGAGAGAGCTGTCATGAATCTTTATGAGTTTAAGACATTCGGCTTTTAGGAGGCACCCTATTTAGATTGGACCAACTTAAGACATATTTTCATTCAAATTGCCAAAGATCACAAGATTTTCATGACAACATAACTGAGGCCTAGCTGTCAATGCCATGTGGTACCAATACTAAGAAAAGAGAAAAAGCAGACTCCAGGGTCTGGAAGTACTTTCCAGACCATTATAGGGAGAACAGTAAATGCTACAGTGCTGCCCAGAGGGTGGGAAGGCCCTCCCAACCTGCTATATCCTTGAGATCCCATCCCAACTTATGTCTGCAAGACAGCACAGCTGCCCATAACATGAGTGAGCTGGTGGGCTTTGTGTTTAGAGCCAGTTTTGGGGTCATTTTTGTAAATAAATTCAACTGCTCAGAAGTAATGAGTACTGCCCCCTGGAAAGAAAGCATGTACAGTAGTTCTAACAAAGCAGGGGAGGAAATGGACATGCAAAGCATTCTTTCTGTCCCAAACAACTTCAAAGTTTTGTGCAGACTCATCTGGAAGTATGGATGGGTTATGACACGTGGCATTTCTGTGAAAATGTCAGCTAGGGAAAGGGCAGTGTCCTCCCCTGGGGACCAGAGGGGACTTAGGGATGACAGGAGAGAAGGTGCTGCTAGGTGACCCACTTCCTCCCTATACCTTCCTCACCCCACCTGCAGAGGGCAGGCAGTGCCCAGAGCAGGCTGCGTCTGCCTGCTGTGAAATGGTTCCTCAGTTCAGAGGAACTGCTTTCCATCTCTCCAAGGCGAGCATGTCAAACTCACAGCCTGTGGGTTGCATGCGGCCCACAACGAATATTTGTGGCCCAGCCAATATAACAGTATGTAAGAAATGTTTTAATAAAATTTCATGACTTAATTTTTACAATATCCTGTTATACATGATCCTATATAATAAAGAGCTAATATGCAAATGGTCATGACACCTTCACGCCATGCTGCATGCATGGCAGGCATGGGTGGGGAGGGCTGCGTGCACAGCGAGGCCAGGGGATGTGAGGATGCATCCCCCGCCCAGCGCCAGCCAGGGGACATGATGCTGTTATTATGTATTTATTAATAAATTTGTATATTATTTTCATATACATTTTACTAATTTTCTTTCATCTCTGACACTTCTATTATAGAGAAAGGGCAAATAGCAATATTAAAATATTTCCTCTAATTAATTCCCTTTTAACGTGCATGAATTTCATGCACCAGGCCACTAGTTATTAATAACAAACTACAACGTTCACTAATGACTGATCACTATAATCGTGTTGCATTCATTTCCCTTACGCACATGTACACCATTTCTCTCCAGTAATACTAGCAGCGAATATGTTAGCAACCGACTGCCACGTCATTAGTCTTGGAATGACTTGTTTGGTGTGTGCAACAGGAAATATTTCACTTTCAGAGAACAAGAAAAATGGGTTTATTTGCATTGCGCTTATTAACTTGTGCAGTTATTCAGTGTCTGGTAAGTTAGTGTTCAAGAAAAAAATATTAATTTTTATTAAAATGTTCTATTATTTTATGTTAACGATGACTCATTTATTTCAGCCCTTTGTATTCAGCATGTCTCTATCGAAATAAACCTATGTTTCTATGAAAATTGAAGCTTTTGTTTTTTTGCGGCCCACATACACTTAAACCTTCTTTATTTGGCCCATGTTAGCCTTTGAGTTTGACATGCTTGCTCCAAGGGATAGGATTTGGCCCAAAGCCACATTTAGAAGGTTCACAACATCTAGGGAGTGAGTCATGCCAAGCAGGACAGACTAACCAGAGAGAGGGAAAAGGGACTTTACCTGACACTTCTGTTCCCTGAGGTGCAAGCAGGCCCTGTGTGCCACAGAGAACATTCAGGGCTTTTAAAGTCTAGCATATCTAAGAAAGTAGCTACAACCTATTTCCTCATTTTAAAAATAAGGTTGGTTTAAAAAAACAAAAAACCATCAGCACCTATTATGGAATACAAAACCTTTTAACCCAAAATATGACTTTGTAGCCAATAGAAAGCTGAAAGATATTCTTAAACAGAATCCAGTTTACAACTGTCACACAGATATCTTTCTTTTTTAAAACATTTCTGCCCTTTATCCCCTCCTCTGTACGTTAAATTTTTATTGTAAAAAGAATACCAAAACAGGAGTGCTGGGCTGCTGCCATGGCCTACTGCTGGCAGGAAGGGAAGGATCAAATCATATTTGTGACCAAAGAAGACCATGAAACTCCAAGCAATGCAGAGCTGGTGGCTGACGATCCCAATGATCCATACAAGGAGCACGGGTTGATCCTGCCAAATGGAGACATTAACTGGTACTGCCCGTGCCTTGGGGTAATGGCTAGTGGCCCCTGTGGGGAACAGTTCAAGTCAGCCTGTTCCTGCTTCCACTATAGCACGGAGGATCTCAAAGGATCAGACTGTGTAGACCAGTTCTGGCCCATGCAGGAATGCATGCAGAAGTACCTGGACCTCTATCCCCAAGATAAGGAGGGGGAGGAGAGGAGGAGGAGGAGGGGGAGGGGGGAGGGGAGGGGGAGGGGGCAGGAGGAGGACAAGGAGGAAGAGGAGGAGGAGAAGGAGAAGCCAGCAAAACGTTTAGAAAAGGCAGCTCTAGCTAAGGCCACCGCAACCAAAGAATAGGAGGGGTCAAGCTAATGAGGGCCATGCTGCAGCACTGGCTCCAGGCCTTCCACCTCAGAGTGATATCAACCTTTTGCAAATGCCTTTCGGTCACTCCACAAGAAAGTCTTTCCCTCTATTGTTCTGTGCACTGTAATGTACAAAATAACTTATTTTGATGATCAGGGGTTTGGGCCCCTTGCCATATACACTGATTAAAAAGAAAAGAGGAGTTATATGTCTGTGTGTCTCGCATAACTCTATCAGTGACTGTGGCTGCCACTTTCAAATTCTCTTTTCAGATTATTTCTAAATTTGCCACTCTGAAATAATGTGTTGAATACTCTCAGCAACCAAAAATCATTATCTAGGAGTGTCTCTCATGAGTGAGCTTATTTATTCTGATTGATTATCTCCCTTTTAGTAGATTTTATTCCTGTTTGGGAAATGAAATAGAAACAAAAACATCTTCCTTTAAAAATGCTGGAATGGGGCCATTCCTAATAGAAGAGGCCAGATAATCAGATACTTATTTCTCAAAAACCATCTTGACCTTGAGTATGAGGTACTATGCTTCATTTCTGATAGATTTTGGTTTTCATTTTTATATTGAGCTCCAGGTTTTCTTTTTAGAAAGTAGAACTTTGGACCTTCCGACTCACAGTCCCTTTCTAATGGAAGAAAAAGCTGGTTTTGCTGTTCTTGTTATTCCAAAAGCCCTGGTTTAGGGCCTGTGTTCACACTGGCTCTGGCTCAGCCTGTTCAGATGCAATATTCTTGAGAGGTGGGGACCTACTTGTTACCAAAGTGGCAACTAAGAAGGAAACATGAATAAAAGGAAAGCACGGTTTATAAAAAAATAAAAATAAATAAAAAGGAGAATGACACACATGTATCTATTCACCACCTACCAGGAACAAATAGCAGCATTCTTCATATTTGCTTCATATATTTTTCTAAGAAATGAAATGTCACAGAGAAATGAAGTCTTCTTTGTTCCTATTCCCAAGTCACAGATCCCTTCCTCACCCAGAGGTAAGCATAGCAGGATGCTGGCGTGTGGGTTCCATGATTTTATACATTTACTACAAGCATAGGTATCCTCAGATACCTACACTGTATTGTCTTTTAATTTATACAAATAGATTTGTGTTGTGTATAAATAGGTTGACAACTTTTTTTCATCTGCTCTTATAATTTTTAGATCTATTAGCATTAAAAACACATAACTGTGATTCATCTTAACTTTTGTAGCACATAGGCATTATACAAATAGCTTCCACAGCTTCTCTCCTACTGATGGGGTCTTTTACTATTACAAATTGCTGCACTAAATATCTACACATTCTTCTTATGATATGTCTGAGAGTTTCTTTAAGGTATGTTTGCAAAAGTAGAAGTACTAGGCACATGTGCTATGCACTTTTAATGGTACTAGATGTGAGAATAAACAAATCATCTTTTCTGTCAAAGAACAGTTTAGACAGCCACCATTTTGGGCTGCGTGACTTGGCAGCCGCCATGTTGGCCGCATGACTTGCAGTTCCCCTGGGGGCCACCATCTTGAAACAACAAAGGCCAACCCCTCCTTTTGAATTAGCCAATCACGAAAGACTGTGCGCCTGAGCTCCCATCAAGAGTGAGGGACAGGTCACGTGCATCAGGGATTATAAAGCCGAGCAGACCGCCTGCTCAGTGTGCGTGTGCTTCCAGACCATGTGTGCACACCCTTCTACGTAGAAGATATTTGCCTTGCTGCCTGGCTCCTGAGTATGTTTTGTGTTCTACCAGGACCCCTGAATTGGGGGGCTCGCCTTATTTCTTACACTAGATATCATCTAATAGCGCTCCAAAATGCATGAATCAATTTATACCCCACTAGCAAGCTGAGTTCCCATTTGCCCGTGTGATCCATCAACATTAAGAGACTGTCAGACCTCTTCCAGTCGAGATGGCTGCATAGGTAGATAAGTTATTCACCCCCTCCCACAACCACATAAAAATTACAACTAAACTACAGAACAACCATCTTTCGGAACCACCTAAAATCTGGCTGAATGGAAGTCCTACAAGTAGGAATTAAAGAAAAAGCCACACTGAGGCTGGTAAAAGAGGCAGGGACTAGGAAGGAGCTAGTCCCACAAACACATGGCAGATAAAAATCAGGAGAGATATTTCAGCTGCAGAGGTACACCCTGAGGAGCAAGGGGTCTCAGCCCCACACCAGGCCCCCCATCTCAGGGTTCCAGTGCCAGGAGGAGAAGTCTCCATAACGTAAGACTGTAAAAACCAGTGTGGATTGAGACGGAGAAATGGAGCACTGAGGGAGTCCCAGGCAGTTCCTCTTAAAGGGTCCGTGCATGGACTTACTAGGACTCACTCCCCCTGAGTTCCAGTGCTGGGCAAGCAGCTTGAAAGGAACCAGAGACCTTCAGGGAGGAAATGAATTATTGACATCAGGGCGAGAGCTTTCTCCTAGACAGAGGTGCTGGCAGAGGCCATCGTGGAGCTCTCCCCTCACAGAACTGGCAGAAAGGTGCCATATCTGAGTTTCCATCAACCTGACTCACATTGTTCACCTCACTCTGGTAATTCCCTGAGGCCCTGCCCCACCCAACTTTCAGGCCCACCTGACTTGTTTCCAGTGGCTTTTCCATAAGAATGGCCTATGTTGGCTCATGCTTCAGATTTTCCTAAAATCTCTCAAACAAGTAGTATCTGGCTTCAGCATGCCCCATACCTCTCACTAAGTAGCCCCAGCTGGCCTTAGTTTGCAGCTTGGCCTCACTTGGGCACCTGCAAGCCTAGCACAAGAAGCAGCTATCTGCAGATTGCTTTGTAGCTCATGTGCAGTGGTCCCAGGAAGAACACAGGCAGTGGTTGACCTGGCCTGTACCTCCTTGGAGGCCCCAGAACCAGCACACCTGGTGGATTGCTTCAGACCACATCAAAGCATCACCACCCAACCACCGCCACAAGTGACAAACTCAAGGAGTGGACTCTGTGGGCACCAGAGCCATGCTGAAGAAAGTCCTGTTCTGTGTTCTGTACAGTTGATCCTCCATAGTGATCAAAGGTCAGTGGTCAGTGGTCATAACCAGTCCTTGCAGCTGATTAACCTGGGGATGAATCCCTCCTATTGACATGCCAACAGCAATCAAGGCTCAACTACAAGAGAAGGGTATACATAGCCCAGCTTGAGTGATCAGGGAGGCTGTGCCACTGGACCCTACAGGGCATCTACTACATTAGGCCACTCTACCAAGCCTGGGAGGTGTAGCAGCTCTACTTAATATGTAGAAACAAACACAGGGAGGTCACCAAAATGAGAAGACAAAGAAACACATCCCATATGAAATAATAGAATACAATTCCAGAAAAAGAACTAAACAAAATGGAGACAAGCAATCTACTATAGATGCAGAGTTTAAAAGACTGGTTGTAAAGATGCTCAATGAACTTAGTGAGAACCTCAACAGCATCAAAGAAGACCAGTCAGAAATGAAGGATACACTAACTGAAATGAATAATTTACAGGGAATCAACAGTAGAGTAGATGAAGCCAAAAATCAAATCAGCAATTTTGAATTTAAGGAAGCAAAAAACACCCAATCAGAACTTCAAAAGAGAGAGAGAGAGAGAGAATCCAAATTAATGAGTATAGTGGAAGGAGCCTCTGGAACAACTTCAAGCATACCAACATTCTCATCATGGGAGTGCTGGAAGGAGGAGAGAGAGAGCAAGAAATTGAAAACCAATTTGAAAAAAATAATGACCAAAATCTTCCCCACCTTGGTGAAGGAAATAAACATACAAGTCCAGGAAGTGCAGAGAGTACCAAACAGGATGAACCCTAAGAGATCCACACGAAGGCACATCATAATTAAAATGCAAAAGGTAAAAGACAAAGAAAGAATCTTAAAAGCAGCAAGAGAAAAGCAGTTAGTTACCTATGAGGGAGCTCCCATAGACTGTCAGTTGATTTCTCAACAGAAACTTTGCAGGTCAGAAGGTATTGGCAAGAAATAATCAAAGTGATGAAAAGCAAGGACCTACAACCATGATTACTCTACCCAGCAAAGCTATCATTTAGAATCTAAGGACAGGTAAAGACCTTCCAAGCCCTGGCCAATGTGGTTCAATTGGTTGAGCACCATCCCATGCACCAAAGGGTCTCTGGTTCGATTCCCAATTGGGACACATGCCCACATGTGGGCTCAAACTCCAGTAGGAGGCGTGGGGAAAAACAGATCTATGTTTCTCTCTCCCCCCTCTCCTTCCCTCTCTCTAAAAGCAATAAAAACGTATTTTTAAAAAGGACCTTCCCAGACAAGAAAAAGCTAAAGGAGTTCATCACCACCAAACCAGTATTATATGAAATGTTAAAGGGACTTCTTTAAGAAGAAGGAAAAAAGTATGAACAATAAAATGGCAATAAATACATATCTATCAACAATTGAATCTAAAAAACAAAATAAACAAACAAGCAGAACAGAAACAGACTCATAGATACAGATTGTATTTTGACGGGAGGGAGGTTAGGAGAAATGGGTGGAAAATGTGAAGGGGTTGACAAGTACAAATTGGTTGTTACAAAATAGTCATGGGGACGTAGTACAGCATAGGGAATCCTATCTAATACTAGACAAACATGGTAATTAACCGTACCTCTGACACGCTTCCCATTGGCTAATCAGGGCGATATGCAAATTAACTGCCAACCAAGATGGCGGCCGGAAGCCAGGCAGCTGAAGCGAACAGGAGGCTTGCTTGCTCCAGTGATGGAGGAGGCCAAGGTTCCCCGCCTGCCGCTGCCAGCCTCTGAGCTGCACTCTAAGAAACAATGTTGCAATTATAGAAGCTAAACAAACCCAGAAACCTGCTTTCAGCCAGCCGGGCCTCAGAGCTGGAGCTGCAACAGTGTTTCAGTTATAGAAGCCAAACAAACCCAGATACCTGCTTTCAGCAGCCGAGGTCTCAGAGCTGGAGCTGAGCCTCAGAGCTAAAGCCGGCTCTCAGTT